AATTCCAACGGGAAGCATAGGCCTACAATGAAAGAAGTGGCTGGAGAGTTAGAAGGCTTGAGAATGTCGCATGTGCCTTCTACAATTGGAACTAAGTTTGGACATGTGAACTACAATGAAGATCAATTGATGGCAACATATGATGAGTCAACATCAACAACAAGAGGTTYCAAAGAAAGTATACTCATCAATGATTCAACGAGATAATATGCAAGTTATTGTGTAAGTAAGCCTTCGACAAATAAGTTGTATATCAAGGTTAACGAGTATGATTTTTGTTGCATCTCCATCTTTTTCAGTTGAAGATTTGTATCACCAATATCATTTAAGTGTAATGAGATTAATTTGTTGACCAATGTAATCTTGATAAATATTGAACAAGGGTTGTGCGGAGTGCACACTTGTTTAAGTTTATTTCGATTTAAAGTATATCGTTATTTAGGGACGAAGCCCCTAAACGACAAGGTCCGGGGCCGCGCCCCTTGTAGCGGGGTCCAAGGGGCCCCTGGCCGGTTAATGTTACTATATGGAAAATGCACGAAAATCCGAATTTATGATTTTGAACCCGATTTTTGGCCCTATTTTTAAACCCGGTTTGGTGGTTCTGAAACTGCCGGTTTTGACAGTTCATAACAATTGATTTTTTGTTCGAAATTATTGAATTTTATCCGATTGAAGTTTCGATTCTACCATCGAAATATTTCAATCTAAAAGTAAATCACGACTTTCAGTAATCCAAACAATCGAAATACCCAGAATTTCTAACATTTTCTCCTCTATTTGTCTAGTCTTTTCYATGGCCATTTTGCTTTGAGCAAGCATTATAATTTTCATTGTATGCACGTTCTTAGTTAATACAAAGTGTCTTTTGCATATAACATTTTCACTACTAAACATGATAGTTTTTCTGACAAAAAATTTCGTTAGAAATCCGCTGWAAAAAGGGATTTATTGTGGATTTCGTGATTAGAAAACCTTTGCCCAAAAACACTATTTTCACCGGAACTCCGCCACTTATTTTTTTCAATTATTTTGACTTAATTAATTAAATTAATAACTAAAATTATCGTTGGATTTTTGATGGATTATTGGCCGGTAATTTAATTAGATTTCTTACAAATTTAATTTTGTTTTTAAATTTTTTATTAAATTACCTCGGAAAGCTGTTAGAAATTTTATTATTTATAATTATTTTTCAGTGAATTATTTAAAAATAAAATAAAATTACCGGCAGATTTATACGCCTYTAATCCATCGGTAATTTTGAACTTTTCATTAAAAAAAATCACTCCCGAAGTTTTATCTGCAAATGGCAAACTAAGAACATCTCCAACATATGTTATACTTTTCCTAACGACTCCAACGATTATTCTATTTTAAGAATCTTAACATTAATTATATTATTAAAATATTCAATAGATACCCAACTGGCCTAGCTATAGCATAAATACCCACGAGGACTGAGAAGGCCTTGGGTTTACTCTTTGGTTCGACCCCCCAGAACACTGAAGGTTTGTCTAACTGTTAATTTTAGGACACAGTCGAGATGTATGCAAGTTGGTGTGAACACTCGTAGTTACCTTGCAACCAAATCACGGGGTTTGGGCCAAACCAAAGAGAGGGTCAAGTGTAACSACCAGGGAATGGAAGGGTAATATGCAACCCTGAATGCCTCAATTACCCAAAAGGCCAAAAGCAGAGTAGTTATGTGATAGGATGATGGTATGGGCAAGTCAACCCAAAACCAATCACGGAATCACCTACCACCCATTTCAAGACAACCTTTATTCTTTGTCGTACGTGGGAAAACACAATTTCACATACTGTCTTAGGCAAGGCTTTTATGTGATTTGATATCTACAAATTCATCAGGGTTTAAATGTTTTAATCAAAACCCACCCTGTTTTGAAATTTCTCCATAGATTACTCAAATCACGCCGTACATTTGGGCATAAATGTTTTATATGTTCTTTGCCTTCAATCATGGTTGTCAAAAAGATGAAGCACTTTCAAGTTTTGCATTTAGTCTTAGTCGTCTTGGTTTTGTTAACAACATCATTCACAGAAGCTCTTAGTTATGCCAAGAGAGGATGCAACGATACGTGTGGGGAGGTTTCGATTCCATACCCTTTTGGAATCGGAGCAGATTGTTCCATCAACGAATGGTATAATGTTGATTGTACCCACTCGACACCTTATCTGTCTGCATTCAACAACATGGAGGTGTTGTGGGTGAACTTACAACTGCAAATGGTTGTTATCAATGTCCCAATGATCGCTGATCGACATAATCCAGTCCTGAATAGCAGTACTATCCTTAATACCAACCATGGTGACAGTCCCTTCCTATTTTGCAAGTTGCATAACAAATTAGTCGTTGAGGGTTGTGGCAATGCTGTCATCATGCAAGATGGAAGTATTGTCAGCGGATGTTCATCGACTTGTCGCAATGACACTGTTAGCGACATAAATAAGTGCTTTGGCACCGGTTGCTGCCAAACCAGAATTCCTCATTATCTCGAGTCCTTCACCTTGAATCTCACATGCTTAGAAAGCCAGGGTGGATATGAAGTTTGTAGGTCTGCCTTGTTGATGGATGATAGTTTAGTAATTGGAAAAAACTTCTCTCTCGGATCTATTCCTGGGAATGGCGCTTCCGTTCCAATAGGATTTTTGTGGACCCTAACAGACCGCGACTACCATGAACTAAACGGTTGTTCGGTCCACAAGAGTGTAAGGTTGACTGTGGGTAAAGAGAGTAGGGTGAAGTCTCATAAGTGTAAATGTGGTGTAGGAAGATACGGAAACCCTTATTTGGAGGGTGGCTGCGAAGGTATGCAATGACTACTTGTAAAATTTGTTTATTTGTGTGCAATAATGAATGATTTTGGTTTTTTTTATGTTTTATGTGGTTTTAGTACCTGAAAATTGTAAAGGGTGTGAGGTTAACGGAGGTCGTTGCATCTATCAGATCACGTCTACGGATGGAAATGAATATACGGCCTTCAATTGTTTAACCGGAACAATTAGTGGAAGCAACAAAATCTCATTTGGTGTTGTTCTAGGTAACCTCTTCTCTCATCTTGCAATCCATACATACATACATAACATCTATAGTAAAAGTGCTCATGGGTTGGGTTGATCGGGTTAAAGATATTTGAACAACCCTATCCAATGCTTGCGGTTTGAAAATATCTTAACCCAACCCAACCCAAACCAAAGTGTAACCCAACCCAACCCGTACGGGTTGGTCGGGTTGATACTTTGGTACATTAAAATATTATTTTAACCTTGAATATGTTATTTTCTCTACTCATAAATTATTTTTCATCATCTGGCCATTTGATACAACTTATCCATATTTCTTACGTATATCACATTCAGTTAATTTTCTCAATTTACATATTTATGTTCACAGTTACTGAACATATATATGAATGAGTTATATAGAGATATAGATAGATTGAAAATATGTGTATATGAAAATCATACTTAATAGTGTAATTGTCTAATGTATATATTTAAGGCTGTAAACGAACCGAACGAACACGAACGGAGGCTTGTTCATGTTCGTTCGTTTAACTTAACCGAACAAACGAACGAACACGAGCGGTAAACGAACGAAAATCTTTGTGTTCGTGTTCGTTCATTTAGAAATCAGGTGTGTTCGTGTCCGTTTATATTCGTTTGTTAACATGCTAAACAAACATAAATAAATATTATTTGAATTTAAAGTAAATAAACAAAAGATTATATATTAAATTTAGTATATAAACGAATGAATATAAACGAACGGTAAACAAACGAACGTTCACGAACATAAATAAACGAATGAGACTCTTGTTCATGTTCGTTTGTTTAATTAAACGAACAAAATTTTTTGTTTATGTTCGTTCATTTATTAAATAAACGAACATAAACGAACTTCCCACCGAACAGTTCGTTTACAGCCCTATATATTAATAGAAATTCAACAATCATATTGAACCCAAGAAATAAAAGGATATCGGGTTCATCAGGTTGGGTTGAGTTCAAATAATGGTAACCCAATATCTACGGTTTGACAATTTTACAACTCAATTAGACATCGGGTAGCTTTGGGTTGGGTTATTTCGCGTTGGGTTGATCGGGTTTTTGAACACCCCTACCTACAGGGATGTTTGGAATTGCTTATTTGAAATGACTTATGCTTTTTCGTAAAAGTTCTTATCAACTTATTATAAGTAAGAATAGTTTAACTTCATCAAAAACTTCTTATTACCGGTTTGACACCTGTATAAGTTGTTTATCCGAACACCCAGAAAATCCTTATTACCAATTTTACACCGAAATAAATCAATAAATTGTTTTTACAAGCAATTCCAAAGACCCGTCGATTTCCATGTGCAACAATTTCATGAAATTGACAAAACATCCCTCAATTTCCATGTGCAACAATTTCATGAAATTGACCTGTCGTTTTTGGTTATATGATGTCAGCTTTTTCTATTTCTTTTTACTTGATTAAACACACACACCCCCCTACTATACCCTTGTCTCTTTTAGTTTAAAATTTTGATTTTGAAAATGAAAATGTAGAAATCTTTTTAATTTCACAAATTAAAAAAAAATCAATCATTCATTAATACTAGTGAAAAAATTGAATTTCATTTCTTCACATACAATTTAACCAACACCACCCACCTCGTGCCTCAACCACGACCATGCTACTATTACCATTATCACAACCTACCCCTAATCCCCACCATTACACCACAATTGTTGTTGCACACCTGCCACCATTCCCACCCCTACCCCCCAAAAACATCACTTACCGCCATGTGACTATTGTCGTCTTCACAACTGGCACAAGTCACCCCCCACCCGACCACCATGTCACTATTGTCGTCGTCACTATGTCATTTATGTTGTCGTCCACGATCCACAATCGACCATCATGTCACTATTGTCGTCGTCACAATTACCATCCCACCTTTCTCCAAACAAAAATGGACATTCTAATTTTATAAAACACATTTGTTAATATGAAGGTACTTTTTTAATCGACACTAATAGTAGAAGTGTAGTATCTGAAGGGTTTCCACCTTATATTTGCTTGTTTTAGGTGTTAGCATAAGTATGGGATTGCTTTTCATGACCTTCGCCACCTATGTGTTATACAAAGTCATCAAGAAAACAAAGGCCAAGAGACGAAAAGAGAGGTTATTTAAACGCAATGGCGGTTTACTTCTTGAGCAACAGGAGGCAACCAATACTGGTTTAGTTGATCATAGAACCGTACTTTTCACCTCCAAGGACTTGGAGAAGGCCACCAACCATTTTCACGATAACCGAATTCTTGGTCGAGGAGGTCAAGGCACTGTGTATAAAGGC